TGGCGACCGGATCCCTGGCTAGTTAGTTAGCGGCTGTTACTTTTAGCACCAACCCTTAGAATTGCACTTTCACTTATACTTTTAGCACAAAGAAAATTTCACGTTAAATTTAGAAGAGTTATCCAGAGATTGTTCCTGCAAACACTTAAACATAATTTCGGCTGTACACTTGGAGGGTTGTTCAGAGACTCCTCTCGCAGACTGACCCTGCTTCGAAGCAAGAAATCTTCGCGGCTTCAGCTCCGCCTCCAAGTTACTACCCTAATTTCTGCTGATTGGAACAATTCGAATTTAGGGAGTTAACCATAATTCTCACTGCTCCAATCACATAACTTTAATTTGGGACTTTGGACCTTAAAGTCCTAACGTCGTTTTTGACAGCTGCCTGAAAAATTATACCAGTAGCGTGGGTTGCTGGCCTTCCCACTTTTGACTTACGGGGTTCAAAACCTGTGAAGTATAACTTTACCAAAGGATCCCGCCGGTCAACTTTCTAACTGAATTTCCAGGAAAACTCTGCGGGGTGCTTCCTGTCTGGTCTTTGTAGCAGTGAAGCAGGCCCTATTCTTGAAACCAAGAATCGGGCTAAGTCACCCTTGAGTGTTCCTTGCTACCTCTTGTGTATACTTACTCTAAAAAGAAATATTGTTTACAAATAAAGATGGCGGTATCAGTGGTACAGCTACATTGTGTCTCTTTCCAGGGTGGATTATGTAGACTGTTTGGGTCGTACTCGGAGGTGTCTGAGGAAAGACTTGACTCATGTGAAAGCAAGGGATGTAAAACTGTTTGAGTCTCTTGGTGGTTATGACGACAAGAATGAGGCAGTTGGTGATAGTAATATGCGATCAGTGACAGTCAAGGAAGGGGAACCTGAATTGATGTCAGGTGATATGAAGAGAGAATTGCTTCGCCAAAAGTGGGAACAACAGGAAGAGCAACTCCGAAATAAAACTGACATTCACTACCAGGATGTACTCTTCGATGGTAAGTACGTGGTTTCCTTAACTCTGGCTGTCTGGCTTTGTACTGTCCAAACTGTGGGAGAGACAAGACTGGAACTTTGTATGGAACAACTGGGTGCAGAGTGCAGGAAGATGGTACTTATTTATTGACAGGTAACCCGAGTAACGTCCATGAGTAACTTTATGAGTGTATTTGTAAAAACAAAACACAAAACATAACCTTGAGAGGTCTTTAGTTATCTGTTTTTAAAAACAAACCCAAGAGCCTAACCTTTGGTCCTATTATTGGGAACAAATGCTAAGATTAGGCTTCTGGCCTTGTTTTTACAAATAAACTTCTAAGTTTGGTAGTGCTAACATGTGGACATGATAATAGATTTTGAAGTAACTTAGGTCACTTGTTAATACATTAGCGCCCACAAGCCTGTACGTCACATAACCTAAATGCAGGGGACTAAATAAAGATGATTTTGTGGTCAGTATATAGAATTTTAGCTATCAGGATATCATAAAATACTACATAATTGTCATGTGTCGGGGGTTTGCATGACTAATAATAGTGGGTTCTATGATGATTGGGTTTATTGGCACTTTGTTACAATCACAGTCAATTATAACAGCTCACACATTGAACTCCTGAATGACATCTGTTTGACAAATGTCACATAAAGAATCTCTCACTATTCTTTACATAGACTAGCTCATATCCACAGAAATCCATGTAAATTATTTGTCACAAAACTGTACTTACTGAAACGTTGGCTACTAAGCAACCAAAGTTGTATTGTTGACTGCGTTACCTCAAGAATGTGCTTACCAAAGCGTTGCCAAGCAGTGCACTGTTCCAGCTTGTTGTCCATTATCTAGCAATGGATTATTCAGTTGCGCCTGAAGGCTGGAATAGTGGATCCAGAGGAGAAGTCCATTGCTAGACAGTGACTTGGTGTTTGCTGTTGGGTCCACCCTGAGTCTGTATAACGAGGAGGCCAGGCCAGCTGAGCTGGTGATTGGGAAATCGAGAGAGTTGGTTGAGAGTTGGCAGTTCAGTTGTGAAGAAAAGCCTTGCAAGAGTGCGGCTGTTGAAAGAAGACTTCATGTGTGCTGTAATTGCACTGTTACAAATCCGTTGCCAGGATATGACTACTGAAGCCTGAGAAGACTTAGTGTGTCCTAGTGATGTGCAAAGTGTGTAGCTCTGTGATAGTGCAGTAATTATGTGTATTTCCATATGGTGTGTATAAGTGGTCAATAAATCCAATTAGGCAATCCATACCCGGTCTATAGTCACCCCAAAATACGAAACAATATATTTTTATAATGTGCTAAAATAATGACTTGAAAAACAATATTGCATATTGCACTGAATAGGTGTGCTCCTTATGATGACCCTGTATGGTTGAAAACATGTTGGGGCATTGAAAAATGTAATGGATTTGATCAACGCATTGCCAGGCAATGGCTCCATAAACACATGCAACAATGGAAACTGTATCTCAGTGGACAAATATTATAGCTCATCAGGCAGCAGTCAGCACACCAGTGAACTAGTTTGGTAGTAGTCACGTGACTTGTTTTTTGTGTGGTCTGTGCCATGCGAAGGTAGAATTGTTTTTTCTGTGTTGTCTGTGCCACGGCTATATAACGTGAACCTGCACACCCCCATATGTCTTCATGGAATAGTGCTTAACTAAATAAGCACAGGGAGAAATTTACTTTTTAGTTAATTATTTTTTCCTAATTCTTTGTGTTACCCTTCTGTGTGTTTTGAATAATTTATATGGTGTTGATATAATTTCACTTAATAATGCAGGAATCAGTCATACTGAGAAAGTTGGCTCAAGTGGCAACACTTCTGTCTTGTACTCTAGAGGTGCCCAGTTTGAATCTCAGGTGGGATATTAACTGTCCTGAATAATATCTTAAATTAGGCCATGATCACTTCCTCCCACATCATTTCCAATTTGTTATTCATTGTCGTCCCAACATTCAACACCGCATACTCAAAGCTATTGACTGACAGTGTCATTAAATAATGTATAAATACATTCAGTCATGCCATAGGAAGGAAATATGTTATGAATATAGTGCACTAATATTCTGTGTCTATTCAGTTCTAGCTGCATGAAGGTAATCTGTAGAACGATTAATTATAGGTGGTTCTAAGAAAGAAAAACAAACCAATGAAAAGTCAATAAACCTGTTCCATAATGAAGAGGCAGGCAGCTGCACTGCCTGAGGGATTTGAACTGCAGGAGATCATGTTAGAGATTGCAGTATGTTGTGCCATGCTGTGTTGCAAGCTTGCTGCAAGTTGATAAAAAACTGAGACTGCACACACACACACACACACACACACACACGCGCACACACACACTCTCTCTCTCTTTCTCTCTGAGGTCAGTTTATCCCTGTGGAGGGTCAAGATTCAGTCTCACTGAAGTTCATGGGGGATCTGTGTTGAGCAATCTGGCAGTGGAATAAGTTCTCCGAACATGATTTGTTTTCAGCCATCTCTCTATAATCATCTGTCGCTGCTTCTTAGTTGTGTGATACGCCTGATCAGCCAGTATGTTATTACAGTCTTGGTCTGTAACTGGGTGGGGCCTCAGCTATAGCACATAGTTGGCTAGATTATAAATAAGGAAATTTAATTTTCCAAAAGATTGTTTTTTGAGTACTGGCTATATTTGTAGTTTCAGAAAATCTGAAAGTACTCACTGTTCTCTGTTTATCAGTTTAATACAAATTCGTGCTGAGTTTTAAGGTTTTGAAAAAAGTATTTAATTGCCAAAAGGGTTCCATGGGACCAATCAGTTCGAAACATCCTGAATACAGAGGTGTCATAATGCTTAGCTTCTATTACAGCAGCATGTATTTTAGAATTAGCAACTAAAAGTAATTTACTTGCAATCCTTTTCCAGTTTCCATCTTGGCTCCTAATTTTTGGAGATGTGTTCCATATATAAAATTTGTTGCAACCTGTGTTGTGAAGGTATGGATTGGATTTAGGTGGCTTGTGATACTCTTACGCATATTCAAAGTTTATTGAATATTCATTTGGGTTTGGTAGGTGTTTAATAAAAGGCAGTCAAAGACTCCAGATTTATTCAGTTACTTACAAATATCAGTGGAGGATCAATCCTAAAGAACTAGGAACAAGCTGTTAAATCTTTTGTGATGGTACATCATCTTGTGCAAAGCTTCGAGATACAAATGTTATAATGTAATTGAGCTTCAAAATTACCTCTACACCATAACATCAAAATGAAAGGGATGTGATCCACCATAAAAACAGTCACACATTGTTCTCTGAATGTAATATTCTAGATCCTTCATTTCCAAATTATGTATACAAATGATTATTTTACATATATATATATATATATATATATGAAATATATACACCGTGAGATAGGAAGATCTGACCGTACTAGTCAGAATATTTCCTGTAGTCATTTTGCAATAAGCTGCAAAACTTAAGCCCTCAGCAAACCTTATGATTTGACTATTCAGTCTACTATGCTGTCATGTTGGAATTGATGAACAGACATGTTCTGCAGGGCATGTGTAGAAGAAACACATTATACATGATGTCACAGAAATGAACTGAAATGGATGAAGTTCCAAAAATAGCCATAGACTCAACTGCTTTTTGAGTTAGCAAGCTACTTACCTTCCCCCCCCCCTCCTTAATTAGTTTGTGAAGTATTGTATAACATATTTCTTCAGCCTTACAGCAAAGCCATTGTTTGTATTTTTGTCTATATTTTCACACCCCAAAATAATATCTGTAAATCAACATTAAAAAATAGATTTTTAGTTTTAGGAAACTGAAATAACTTACAGATAAATAGAAGCACAAAATAGGGTTCACAGCTCCCTCCTTCTTTAATTAATTAAGCATGAGGATTGTATTAAATATGAGGAGTCAGATTGTGGTCTTCTGGGCCATGTTCTCTGTTAGATGGCTACCAATGTTTTGGAGAAATAACTTTCAGGCTAGAAGATGGAGGTTCCTCTGAAACGTCAGTAACCACCTACCACACAACTTGGTGTCATAACCTGGAAGATCACAAATAATCATAGCCATGAAACGTAAAACTACATCCAAATAAGAATATATTTATCTGATAACACAGACTCCAAAATTGCCTAGACATATGAAATATAGGTGACAGTTTTATACTTAATATTCAAAATGAGGTAAATTTCAGAGTTATGTAATATTTAATCTAACATAAATTTTTAAAACATATCTTTTGTGCATAATATGTTCATAAAATAAAATACTTATGTGAAAACAGTGGTGAATTGAAATTTTGATCTTATGGGATGTGACACTGTGTAGTTTGGTAGATAGTTTCCAGCATTTTGGAGGAACCTGCTGCCTCCATCTTCAAGATAGAAAATGAGAACCAAGTTAGTAAATGGCATGGAATAATGAGAGGGAGAATTCTGGGATACTGGTTACCCCCTTTGTCTTTCTCTCTTTACTTTTATTCCCTCTTCTGGCAAATAGCCCTTTTCTGTGTCGTTGGCTCCCATTGGCATGCTTATAGCTTTATTCCAACCTCTCTTCCCTGTATTATATATTAATTTCCATGCTTGGCCCACTTTCTTTTATCTTGAGGATGGAAACAGCAGGTTCCACCAAAACACTGGTAACAATCTATTGAACCCTGAGGTCTCACACCTTAGAAGAACCACAGATCTTACAGCGATGAATATTCAAATTCCACAACCACAGAAAAATTAAGCTGTTTTCATTATAGGATCCTTATATGGCATTACATTGTTTAAAGCAAACATACAGTTTTATATGACAGTTGACTGTAATACAAAATGGCTACCAGCCTGATAGCACAGCAGACTTTGGGAGGACAGCAAAGCAGTGTATGTGTTTTGCACTTATCTTAGGATCTTTGGTTCCCTCTAATGGCAGCGTCACTATACTCTAACATGACCGGTCTATTCCCTACACTAAAGATGGAAGATTGGGATCACATGATTTGAGCAATTAGGTCACTTTTCTTGTGATTCAGCTTAAAGCTCCCAGGATGCAAGGCTTCATGTGTCCTCTCCTTATAACATGGAATGTGAACAACAGGATTAACATGAAAATAGGGTACAAAAATTGATATATAATGGGTCCATTTGAAGATGGTATGTGTTGGCAAATAACACTGTGCTTTATATAAGGGAGGCATGGGGAAATTATCATCACAACTCTTTAGGAAATATATTTTTCATCATGGTGACAGATGTATGATAATTTTGCTGACATGTACTATAGCTATGGCTTGTAAAGCCATGTGCAAATATTGTGGTAGAATTTTTGGATGTGATTTGGGTTGTCATTGCGAATCTTGTTCATAATTATTACATGACTAAACTCTGATGTATTGATCTGAGCGTTATTCATTCTTCATTGAAGTTGTAGCTACTGTATGTTGTAAAGAACAGGTACTTCTGCCAATTTGACACAAAATAATGAAAGGGCTAGTAATCCATTGCCCTCCTCATGCTCTTTGCACAACTTTAGTTGCAAACTCTTCTCTTATTATTCCCCAGTGGGTCTCTAGACAAATCTTCAACAGTGTATATGTTGAATTGGTACAGGCAGAAACATACAAAATGTGTTTAGCTGTCAGGTGACATGTATCTATTTAATCCTTTGCTTGTCACAGTGACTCTAGCATTAAATGTGTAACATGACCTATCTGTTCTTCTCTGTGGGGTAGCCAGTTAATGCAAGTATACAACTTCCGGAATCCAAAAGCGTAATCTATTAATTCTGTTGTTGGAAATTGAAATATGTTAATTCAATTGGGAATTGTGGCTGTTGAACATGGAATCATGGTTTATCATTAGTGTTTTGTTATGAGAATGCATTTATGGCATCAGTTATGCTTAATTATATCGTGTTTCATTCACATTATGGGCTTCTGGGTTGTGCAGCTGTGTAGCCAACATCTCAGAAGGCCATGCTGTCTCCATCTTCAGGGTTGAAGAGAGTGGGGTGAGGCTGCAGTTAGGTTACATAGTCAAATTGCAAGGAAGATGGTTATGTAGGACACAGAATCTGGTCAGTGCCACTGGAGAATGTGGGAAATGGGCTTCTCCAGGGCCACAATATTTTATCAACACAGGAAGGAACTAGAATGCGGAGAAAAGAGCCCTCTGCTTTTGGCCCTGCGAATTGTGGCAGTATCTTATTCTGAAATGTTAGTACAGACTCAGTAATCTGTAGCTTCACAACCCAGGAGACAGTTACTGCCAGGGACACCTCAGGGCTTATATTCTTTTTCATTCTTAAATTATTATGACATAAGTTTGCATTCTGTTTTCAGTTTCCAAAATACTGTATTCCTACTGCAACACAAAATTGACTGTAGGCTTAACATACAGGCCTAGATGAGAAGACTGTACGTGATCTGTGTGTGATGCTTTTGGACTAAATGCTCAACTTTTAGCATCACTGTTTATAATGAGTGTCAAATGTTCCACACATGCACACCCTGTTCACAGAGGACATGCAAAGGATTAATCACAGCTGTTGAAGGAACTTCATATTTGCAGGGAACACGTTTGTTTCTGTGTCAACCAATGTTAAGTTTATTGCAAACAAATGTCTTGATTTGCAGTTCAAGCATTAGGCCACTTGTCAGACACTATACAACAAAATCCTATAGCCTATCACCAAATGGAATTGGTTGCCCCATTGCACTGTATGGTTCTATGTGTAAGAGGCTAAGTTGGATCAGAGAAAGAATGAACACACATTCTCTCTTATTCTAACCAGTTGTCACTTGCATTCTGACTATCTTTCCAGTTTTTTTTTTTCTGTTTGTGTTGAAAAGGAGTGAAGAAGTGAAAGCACAAATGGCGGTTTTATTAAAGTGTGGGCTGTGTACAGTATGTCAATAAAGAGAAGGCGAGGCAAGTGGTGTGTACAGCTGTTGACATTCACCATTTTTTGTTGCTTTATCAACTCGCTGACCTTCGGTGTGCCAAAGCCAATATTAAGAGTGGTCTGAAAATTATGCCGATGTGTTCAGCTTGCACAGTACACATAGGTGGGAATTATTGCATCGTCTTCTCATCGTTTGGGGAATTATACTTGCTGCAGTTGTTCTTTATTGTAATTAATAGCGGTGAGCTCTTACCCTTTTTGTGCTTAAGGTTTTCAAAATTGCTCAACTCTACTGACAGCAGTGTGAAATCTGTTTTGTATTTGTGAATTGATATGCAGATTTTTAAGTAGGCTGACAAACACATTGTTCTTATAATTTCGGAAAATAGAATCATTCTATGAAATTTATGTTGCTATCTTCTGGTTTGTAACGCCGTGTAGTCTGGTAGGTGGGAACCAACGTTTCGGAGGAACATATTGCCTTCATCTTCTGGACTTGTACCCTAAAGATGGAGCCAATATTTTCGTCTAAAACTTCACAAAAACCCAGAACACAACAATTCCAGTACGAATTTATCATGGCAGTGAAAACCGCAAACTTCATATAGGCAACATGTCTTCATAAATATGAGAAACTGTAATGATTAGATTAGGACAAAGCATAATTAGTTGTTAGCGGTCGGTACTTAGGGGTACCTCGTTTCGAACGAAAGTATGAGTAACTGGCGGTGACGCAATTTCAATAGCATAACAGTTCTGTTGCTATCAGAAACTTATATTTAACCATTTCGAAAATCATAAGACTTACAGAAAAAGTATATTGGAAATGAAATGTGAGGTTCGTTTTCCCCTACAGCTTTTGTTCGAAACATTTCGAGAATTACACGATAGGCGCTGCAGATGTTACATATACGTCTTCATGTGTAAAAAGTAAAGGTAAAGCTATCCCTGTAACATGCCGTGGAGACCGATAGGGTTGCGAGACGTCGAGGCTCCCACATTTTCTAGACAGCCGGCTCACAGATGGCGGCGAGGTTATCAGCCTTACGCGCCGGCCGCCCTTTACTCCCAGGAAGATTTCTGTTAGAGGCTGAGTCCACCCCCGGGCCATAGTGCGGCTGGAAGGTTTAGGTCACTCAAAGAAATCCAATATCCTCATCGAGAATCGAACTCGCGTCCTTCCGGCTTGTAGCACAGTGCCTCAAACAACTACGCTACCGTGTGTCCCACATTTTCGTGTTTAGTATCCGTTATTGTTGTACTGTTTTAAACAATACTGGAATGTGTAGAAAGATTTTAATAAAACTCCCCCCCCCCATATCCGATTTTATTTAGCGGGTTCTTACGTGTAATCAAACGGACAGACATAAAAAGTAAAGCTGTCCCTGTACCAGGCCGTGAAGGCCCATAGGGTTGTGAGACGTTGAGGATCCCACATTATCTAGACCAGAGTTCCGCAACCGGTGTGCCGTCACAAGGTGAAAGGAGTGACGCGAACTTTTACCTATTGTGAGAAATTAATTGTCGAATTTAATTAGTTTTATTTTATCCCAGTTACCGTGTTTCATATGCTTGTATTTTATTCTCAGCCACTGCACTGATTAACTAAGATGATACTTGTTTATTCTTTATTACATGCTGTGAGTTTTTATGTACAGTAATGTTGTATTCTAAGAAATTAAACGTAAATTATTTACTCACAGTTGTTGTTATATCATAGTTTTCATTATTCATTTATTTTCATTTTTCTCGCATCTACGGGGCTTCTTTGATAAACTTGCTGCATATTCTGTGTACGTGCTTTTCCCTAAAACTGCAGGGATTAGCAGGGGTTTC